CCTATTAGATGCCGTATATGGCAAAAGTTGTGGCGACATCTGTTTTAGGACTGCAATGCCAAGCTTTCTGGTTTTGGACTTGCAAACATTGTTCCCAAGGGAGATAACTCTCTCTTCACCTGTGTCATGGGAACATTAGGCTATATTGACCCGAAATACATGAGGACTGGTATGCATTTGTCAGTCCGAGCAATTTGAGGATGAGAAATGTGCAAGTAACCGGCAAAAAAAGTGGTTTCAGTAATATTTTGGATATGTCAAATTATCCCATCGTACAGAAAAGCAGATACCAGCCCCAATCTACACACCTCATTCACACCTCATTCACAACATGTATGATTAGGAACCGAATTCAATTAGGTAGATATCAATCGTGACCAAAGAGTGAGAGCGACTGTCATATACTGATATACCTACTTTTCACCATTACTCTGATCTGTACTCATATTCGGCCACAATTTGCAGGAATGGTACGATCAGCTGAAGTTCTTGCACATCATGCTTAAAAGCTACAACATTTTTTTCTGTTTTTGAGTCCTGTATGTGGTCAACCAAATGATGTTGTCCCCATATCTGCCAATCAACCACATATCTCCTCTTTCTCGTACCGTTTGCCTGGGAGGAACCTGGAAAATTTGCTGGAACCCAATGAGTTGGTGTTCCTAGGTGATCTAGATTTAGTCACCGCGGCGCTCTCAGGCTCTGGAAATGAGTAAGTACTGATCGCAAATCATGAAAGTTGGATCTTGAGGGTGCGAATCCGGCGAGTTCACAATCCACGTTAATCACGCGTCGCCGGCAAGTGATCACAAATACATGGAATTTCCGCTACGTCCTTCAAATACCCGATTATTTCTCTATCATTTGTGACTTCCGAAACATTGATTCACAGTTAAAATTCTTTCTTTATGTGCTTCAGCGTCACATGTCCAAAGGTTCTTGGTTTCAAATGGAATATCTAGAGTATTCGGAGTAGCCGGTTTATTTCCATTTGAGTGTGGTAGTTGTCTGTCCTACACGCACCAGATAATTACATCATGATTTGTTTGTTTTCTCATTACTACTTTCGTATACTTTCGTATCTATCATTCATGAGTAGCGAAATTTAACTTCGAAATTATTAAAAAAGGCGGCGGTGTATCTTATACATCCAATAATTAAGAGTTAATGCATTCCCTTGACATGACAATTTCTAATAGCAGGCGATCATTCAAAATTGACAGAATAATTAGTTAATTTCATGTCAATCATGCTGTAAATCAATACCTCGCCGGAGCAAATGCCATGGCATGACGGTCCATGAATGAAGTGCATTGTACTTCGGAAATGCCACACTTCTATGCCACCAATGACTTTAATAATTTCATGACTGATAGCTTTCTATCCGCAGCAATTGAGCCTTTTATATTACGTATTACTCTCTAGTGACTGCACATTTACCGCATTCAAGTTAGGATGTCCATGGTTTTGGTGTGGTATTTTCAGAAATTCTGACTAGAATAAGAGGGTGTTTGTTTCGCAGAAAATAACTTTCAAGAAAATGTTTTTTGGATTTTCTGGCGTTCAGTTTAAGGAAAATAAACAAGTCAAAGAAAATATTTTCCGTTGACGGAAAAAATGAAAAGAGGAAATCTTTTTTAACATTCATTTTTTTTCTTTTTATAAATTATAAATTATAAATTTTCTTTTCTTTTTTTCCTTTTTCTTTTTTCTTCTTCTTCGACCGGTGGACGGCCACGGCGAAGGCCGGCGACTGGCCACAGGCGAGCTCGAGCCTCGCCATAGGCCGATAAGGCTCATTGGAATCTGGCGAGGCTAGAGCTCGCCAATGATCGGTCGCCAGCCGTCGCCGTAGCCGGCGACTAGCCGAAGAACAAGGGAAAAAAAGAAAGAAAAGAAAAAAGAAAAAAGAAAAAAGAAAATTTTAATTTTAAAATTAAAAAATTAAATTTTTTTTTCCTAAAGTAGTGCACGGAAGAACATCAAATCAGATTTTCCACACCAAACGGTGAAAAATATTTTCCGATTCTTGTTTAGATTACAGCCGAGTACTAGAAAATTATGTCATTTTCTTGGAAAATTGTTTCTTGGATCGTCATATTTTCCGCAGAACGAACGGAGCCTATGAGTCATATGCACAAATCGGTATACCGATGAACGTAACCTTGTTGAATGGGCTAGGTAACATCAGAGAAGTTTGTACAGATTGCTAGATTCAGGGTTTGGAGATCGTTTCTCGGAAAATGGTGCCTAGATTGCTTTGCAGTTAGGTTGCTCGCTCCCTTAGCCTGATCCAAAAGCTCGTCCCCGGATGAGTGAAGTTGCCGAAGTGTTTGAAGGCTCCCCAAGCTCTTCCTTCGGGACAAGTACTAAAAAAATCATAAACCTATTATATTAGTACCAATTCAGTCTCAAATATTTCGATTGAACTAATTTAGTTCTAAACCTTTTCATATTGATGCTAATTGAGTCCATCCGGTCTTATGTTGGAAATTGTTGACGTGGACGCTGACCATCCTATGTGGCGCTGACGTGAATAATTTTTTTAATAATTTTTTTTGAATTTTTTTTCCTTTCCTTATCTTTTTCTTTGGCCTGCGGCCGATAGCAAGGACATTATGGCCTCTGGCGAGGGCTGTGATGCCCTCGTCAGCCCTCATGGCCGGTCGCCGGCCATGACCGAGCATCGGCCACAGGCCAAAGAAAAAGAAAAGGAAATTTTGGATGCTTTGTAGTGGAAAAAAATTGAGGAAATCTAGATATATTTGCTTGCAATTTCCACGTCAAGAACACGTTTAGTATGTTTAAAAGATCAATAACGGTTAATTAAAGGTATATTTTTTTTGTGGTTTGCTCTCACCTGAAAGTCTAGATTGGACAGATTTTTCGGGCTCAATGTCATTCTTCTTTTTGGACGACCTTGCCCACAGTTGGGGAAAAATAAAAAAAGGAAAGAAGAGAAATGGAAAAGAAAAAAAAAATGATAATAAAAAAATCAGAAAAAATAAAAAAAAAAATTTTACAAAATTGTCCACGTCAGTGCTGGCCATGCCACGTAGGATGGCCGGCATCTATGTCAATGATCTCCAGCCAAAATTGGTCAGATGGAGTATATCGGTAAATTGTTAAAAGATTTATGATCGAATTGACACAAGTGCAATAGGTTTATGACTTTTTTGGTAATTTTTCCAACCGAGGCTAAAAGGCCATAAAAGCCTACAAAGTGTGAACCAACCTAGATACATCTTTAAGAATTAGAAAGAAATATGTAGAAGTTGATCTATATGAGAAACTGGCATAGTTATTCTCAAAAGACCTAGTAAAAGTCATAAACCAAGCTAAATCTAGCAAATAATCAGCAAACGGGCAGAGAACAAGTACCAAAATTCGAAATGTGGCCCCAAAGATGCCGAAACTATAGATTTCTCTTCTATCATTTAATGCGGACTTCATTTTTCTTGATAGGAACTTATAGGGGAAATAACACAATCATTAGTTATTTAATTTTCTAAAATTACTGTCATGCCAAGTAATCATGGATGTGTGTAGCTGTAGATAGGACCAACGGTTTGGTTACTTTAGTACAAGATCACATGTCGAACGGTCAAATCTATTTGTACTTTTAACATTTTTTTTTATTCGAAACACTTGAAACTTTCATAATATACAAATATTGACAGATAAACTCATAGTTATTATTATTATGCTCCATATTTCTTATTAGCCGTGCTCTTACCTGAGATTGTCTATTTGATGTTAATAGATCCACATCCACAGAGCATGCCATCTATTCGAGTTTTCTGGAATTCTGTACCGGCATGCGCTTCGAGTCCTCTCGGTAGGGAATTGCTTCCAGATCCCCGAGAAGTATCTCCCCCTCCGATGGCGGAAGATCAATACATCTTCGTCGAAGCTCCATCGTAATGCTCCGAGCCATCACGCGGCAAGCAGACATCGCAACCGAGCAACTTCAAGGAGAGGGGCTAGACATGGCATCGAATCTCATATCGAATCTCATATCGGAGTCGGCCAAGTTCAAGGAGAGAGGCTAGACATCGCAACCGAGCAGGGTTCCATCCTCAGCGGTTGGTGTCTTCGCCGGCTGTAAGAGACGCTTCTTCCATCCATGGGAACTTTTGAGGAGGCTGTTTTGATTATTCGACAGTACAGTGGGCGTATCCTCCATGCTTTTCCTGCGCTGGGTCAATGCATGACGCAGAGCAGGCCGTGGATTTAGGAATTTAATTTGGTTTAATTTGGGGATTGAATATATTGAAGTGACATTTTGTAGGCCGATGACCGAGTATGGAACATATTTCTATGCCAGACATCACCAAGAATTCTGCTTTTACCGGGAATGAGTTCACGAGAATATTGATACAGAACGGAATACTTCTTTAGAATTTGCTATTGAAACGGCCATAATTTCCTTCTTGGTTATCATCACTTGCATGCAATTTTAACATGTCGATAAAATGAGTTGTGTGACGTTTAAAATAAGCTACACATATTTAATTCGCTATTCCATGAGGAGACGGCGAGTTTACTATATCGGTGACACTGCGAATCCCGTTCGTTTTGGGTTTGGTTCGTTCATCAAGTTGAGGAGCGCTCAATTTCTCTCCAGCATCTAACAGGCATCTAACTTTCGGGATATGATATGAAATTTAAGAAAAGAAACGACATTATCTCATCATAAATCGATGAGTCTGTAGACTTTTCAATGTAGGATGTGATCATAATTATTAAGATGAGAGAAAAAAATTAAGACAAAAAAATTAAAGAGGAAATTGTAAATAGACAACATAAAATTATAAGTATATGAACTGTACTTTAATAAATTCAAGAGACATATATTAGATTGTGATGAATAAAATAAAAGCAGATTAACTCTAATGATTCACTGTAGTTTCAATAAAATATGACATTAACCCACAAAGTGCAAAAAAGAATGGAAGGAACATAATTGGTACCTTTAAACTCAAAATAATGTAGTACACTAGAAATAAAGAACAGAAGGAAGAGAAAAGGGGCAGGCAGCAACATGGACATAATTAAGATGTTGGGCAAACTATTATGACCTCAATTCACATAATATGTATGCCCTGCACAATTCTTCATCCCTCATCCTAATAAAACCTATCAAATGCTCAAAAGTCACTTTTACATTTTGTATTAAAGATTGTAGCCGTGTAGACGAACGGGCAATATATACAACTCGCATGATATTGAGAAGAAACTACATCCAATTCACTATTTCCTGAGGAGAACCAACTCCTGTATGTCAATACTAAAGAAGCTTAATATTGCTACCAAGTGGACTGATCATAGAAAAACAAAACTAGAATTGTCCTTATTATTATTTTCATCACCTCATACCAGTGATACCACGACCAATAGCCATAGATTTTACATGCAAATAAATTTTAAAGAGAAAGTCTGGCTTGATACATGATCTCCGGTCTTTTTTCCAATCACAACAAACAAGATGAATAAAAAGCAAAGTGTTACGGAGTGAAAGTTGCACAAAGACCTTAACCTTTGTTTGGTGGCCTCGTCTTGCCACACCAATGTAGGCCACCATGATTCCTCGGCACCAATATATCTTAGATTGATAGCATTTTCCCCACAAAAGGGAAGTTTCAACAAGGATCCACATGAAGCTATCTCCACTCTCTCTAGAGAAGACCAAATCAATGAGTCATCCGGCGCAATGCTCCTCAATTTCGGAAGATCATGAAGTACTAGCTTTTTCAGTCTTGGAAGTGTTCTTGGGTCCAAAGAAGTATTCTCGGATTCAATGACGATCTCCTCAATTTCGTAGCACTCTTCGACACTCAAATGCTGAAGTTCGGCTAATTGCTCAATCAAACCATTTGAGAAGATCTTCTTCAGCTTAGGGCAATTGTACAAGGTTAAACTGGTCATCCAACCTAAGCTTCCCAGGGGCACAGGACCATTCCAAATGCAATGCAAACTTGGGACATTCTTTATAACCATTCTCTCTAGCCGTTGGAATGTAGGATGTGGTGCTACGTTGCCGTCTATAATGCATATGATATCCTCACATCCCTCCACCGAACAAGCTCTAAGATTACCCATGTTCTTAGTGCCGAAATCTGATAAGCTCGATATATTCCTGTGATCAATCAATTCAAATACATTGGTCTCAGTGAGTACTTCTGAGATCACAGGATGTACGGCTTCATGGTTTGCGTACTTCAAGAACCTGCACTAGTCATGGGCCGGTTTCGATCTCAGAAGTACTCACTGAGACCAATGTATTTGAATTGATTGATCACAGGAATATATCGAGCTTATCAGATTTCGGCACTAAGAACATGGGTAATCTTAGAGCTTGTTCGGTGGAGGGATGTGAGGATATCATATGCATTATAGACGGCAACGTAGCACCACATCCTACATTCCAACGGCTAGAGAGAATGGTTATAAAGAATGTCCCAAGTTTGCATTGCATTTGGAATGGTCCTGTGCCCTTGGGAAGCTTAGGTTGGATGACCAGTTTAACCTTGTACAATTGCCCTAAGCTGAAGAAGATCTTCTCAAATGGTTTGATTGAGCAATTAGCCGAACTTCAGCATTTGAGTGTCGAAGAGTGCTACGAAATTGAGGAGATCGTCATTGAATCCGAGAATACTTCTTTGGACCCAAGAACACTTCCAAGACTGAAAAAGCTAGTATTTCATGATAACCGGCGGTTCCGGTTCGTGGCCATGTGTGAACCGGAACCGCCCCTAGCGGTTCTGGTTCTGGTTCGGAACCGGCCAGTTCCAGTTCGTAATTTAAAAATTTTAAAAATAAATTATGAAATAAAAAAATAATGAATTATAAAATTATGAAATAAATTAGAACTATGAACCAGACCGGCAAATCATAGAACCGGGAATCAGACCATTGGCCTGGTCCGGTTCTAGGCGATCCAATGGAACCTTTTGCTCTTAACTAGCAAAGGATCGTAGCCACAAAAGGCATACAACTTCACATGCTCATGGCTTGGCTTGGGTTTTATACACAACCCCTTTGATGGTCTCTTCATTCCCATTCGATGTGGGACTCTTGGCATTTGCATGAAGACAAGCCAAGAGTCTCACATTGAAGGTGTTCAAGGCAAGCCGAGAGTCTCACATCGAATGGGAATGAAGATGCGTTAGAATCATTGTGTATAAAACCCAAACCAAGCCTTATAATTAGAATTCAATACACCCAAGCCAAGCATTGTAATTAGATATCAAATGCACTTACAATGCATGGCAATTAGAGTTCAAATTGTTTTATAAAAAAAAATTACATAATGAATTTTTTTTTTAAATTTCATTATTATTTTTAAAATAATTTGGAACCGGAACCGGAACCGTAGGCCACGGACCGGTTCCGGTTCCGAATCGCAGGCCCGTTGACCGGGCCTGTTCGGGGCCGGTTCCGGGCCAAAACCGGCCCGTGGCCATGACTAACTTGCACGATTGATATTCAAAATAATCAAGAATATGATGCTTGACCGAATTGCAAATGCCGACTGAAAATTGGAATGTGAAGTGCACATTCTTCCACACACGGCTTGATCTGATGAAGATTTCGAGGCACTCCACCTTAGGAAAGGAAAATGTTAGCAAAGTCAACCGTGTCAAGATAGAAACCTCCTCCATGATAGTCCTTGCGACCTGATCAGACCACGAAGTGTTTGGGTCTACATCGATGATGAGTTCTTCCAATAATGAAAGGCTTGAAATCACCTCGGATATTATGCTTCTGGTGCCGAAATTTGACAATGACATCCGTAAACATCTCATCTGTGTTAAACATCTAACTTGAATAGGTAAAGAGATGATTCCGGTGCGTCGGATGTCTAGTACCTCTAGATGCACCAGTGCCCCTAAGCTTGAAGGCAGTTCTGTTAAAAGCGTGCATGAATTCAAGTAGAGTGCCCTAAGACCAGTCAAGCAAGACAAAGAAGGTGGAAGGGATGCGATCGCACTTCTGTGCAAGTCCAAGACTCGGAGTCTTTGCATAGAGAAGAAGAAGTTATCTGGGATCAACATCAAATTGTAATTTCTTTGCAGGAGTAGAGTCGAAAGATTTATGCAATTTGGTGTTGCTGGTAGACTGTGCAAGTCATTATCCATCAAAGAAATTCGACTTGCACAAGCCCATTCTTTTTCCTTTGGGGCCTCCTTTAGCCCCTCGCATGTTCTTGCCAAGAACTTATGGTCAAGGCCTCGTGATGAGATTTTAAGCGCCATATTACGAATTACTTTGTTCATTCGGACATGTTCCTTCATCGCACCTTCTTCAAACAAAGATGCATTAATTAGATCCTCCAATATCTTATGCCCTCTACCGCGTGCATCTCTAAACTCATCCATGTTCTGAAGAAATCCCTCTGCCTTCCAACATTCCATCAGATAGTCCACAAATATGTCGCACTCTTCAGGAAATAATGCTCCATAAAGAAAGCAATCCTTTTTATCCTTCTCATCTAAATCCTCGTAACAGAATTGTAGAAACTCGAGCACTTCATCTAGGCCGTCACTTTGGATACTGGACCATCTTCGCAAGCTTCTCAATCCATCTCTCCAGAGGTGAATGTTCTTCTTATTCCTGAAAGTCCTAGCCACTTTATCGATCAATAGTGGCAAACCAGAACACTCTCTAACCATGAGTCTTGCTATTGGTACGATGTTTGGATTTATGATACTTCGACCGACTTTTTCTTCGAACATTTTATATGCATCAGAATTGGATAAACGCTTCTTATGGACAAGCTCATCGGCATTCATTTTACGGCATGACTCGAAGAATCTACTGGCAATTACCACCCTGCTGTCCTTGTCATTATTAGGAATACCTATCTCATGCAGATCGAGAGGATCCCAAACTTCATCAAGGAGAAGTAAGTACCTCATGCCTCCCAACTCATTTGATATAAGTTGAGCAGTCTCAACTGCGTTGACTCCGCCCTCCACTTTTAGCTTCAAACGTCGTGTGATTGCATCTTGCACCTTCTCAATGCTCCCCGCCTTCGACACTGATACCCAAATGACAATATCAAACATTTTCTTAACCTCTTCATTATTATTCAAATTCTGCATGACTGTGGTTTTCCCAATGCCAACCATTCCCCAGAGTCCGATCCTTTTGACGTTTCTCTCTCTCAGAAAACCCAATATTTCTTCAACGGTCTCGTGTAGTGAAGGCTTATCCTCGGTCCTAGGGGCATCTATGACTATCACGGGCTCCGGGGGTCTTTCAGCTACCAACCCATTATCGAGCTTTCCTTCTTTTATCAGGTCTTGTAATTCCTCATGCTTTTTGGCCATATGCTTGCTCAGGTTTGCACGTGACCAGAACCGAGGGAATCTCCAAGCATGCTTGATTTCTTTCTTGTACTTGCTGTCCAATTGGAGCACTTCTTCTTCAGCCACCTCGACCTTGCCAATCCAACCTTCACATTCCTCACTCTTCATCTTTTTTTCCTTTATTTCTGTCTCTACAATTTTCTGTCTTTTAGAAAGCGTTTGTGCTTGTTTGGTCAACTCCTTAAAATTAACCTCAAATTTGTCAGCATACTCTTTTGTTTTACTGATGTAGCGAAAATGCTACGCCCTTCCTTGTATGCTTCAACTGCTATTGCAGAAGCTGCTGCAGTTGCTACTGCTTCAACCATGACTATCACAAGAACAAAAGCCATGAGATGTCGGTAATAATACTTACTCAGACAAAAGGAAAAAGAAAAAACTCGACTTTACATTTATCGAGTGAATGTACAGGAAAACATCACTATAAACAGCAACGAAATAAAGTTTTGTAATGATTCAGAGACTTCAACAAAGATGTCTCAAAAACAACAACCTTAAAACTTCTGCATTTAGCTCAATTCCAGTCTAAGTGAATCTAATCCATATGTGCAAACCTATGTTGTCAAGAATGATTGGTACCTAAACTAGAACATGATGACATGTTACATGTAATAAAAGCATACGGCAAGTCAAAGTAATAAGAGATGTCACAGAAGCCACAACCTTGCAGTTCTTGGTTCAGCTCAAGTACACACTGAATCTGAAATGTCACCTTTCCACAAAAAATGGGCATCGGAAAAGTTAGACCAAACGAAACAAGAGCATTATCATACGGCAAGTCAATTGTTTGCTGCTCTCCTGCTTGATCTTTAAAATCGACTGCAACAGCCACCTACATCAACAAATTCAAAGGTTCAGTCAACAGAGGGAAAACAGACTAATGCCACCAACAGTTCCCCGAGGTTACATTTCCGGGGGGAGGGTCGCGACCTAAATTTTCTCAGGCTAATGGATTATTAGGACTAAACCTAACTCGGGCCCTCCCAAGCCCTACCAATTCGCAACTTAGGGTTTAAGTTTTTAACATGCAAATGTTTTTATGCTTGGAGTCGCCACTAATCTATTTGTGGTAGGTCGATTAGAAACCTAAATAAAACATAGGGAGATATGTTTTATTCCTACGAACCAGAGATTCTAAGCTCGGGGACTTGGTTACGCTAGATCTAGTCTAACGCCCTTTCGGTACCTTTTCTTTTCAAAAAATGTTTATGCATGTAGTCTGGATCCATTTTAATTTAGTCACTAGCATGTGAGGTGATCATGCGGGTGCGCAAACCACCAAAGTAACACCCAATAATCAAAACATTAAATAAATTGCAAGATTGGGAGAATTACTTACCTCGAAGCAACGTAAGCATCTGCATTGTTAGCTAAAAAATCACATCAACAATCCTAATATAATTTCTAATTAACAAGCAGTTCACTCAATATTTTTTAGGATTTTCACTTATTTAAATGAAAACTAATCTATATGTAATGACGTGTAAAAATTAACATGCGATTAATGCAGCCTAACATGCAAACTATATGTCATGCAAGGACGTGACCTAATTCTAATGACAGACAAATGATTTATTTTTGGTATTTTCAAATGAAATTCGGAATTAAAAATTACTCAAATTAACATGCAATCTATCCTAGAGAAAATGATTTGATCTATCCTAAAGTGATTCTTTTTTTGGGATTTTTATTAAAATTCGAAATTATTAAACATCTTAAATAATCCACTAAGATTAAAACAATCTATAATTTAAACTAGGAAATATGCTACCCTAAATCCCAATTTAAATCAAATAATTGTCTTATTCTTTTGGATATATTTAAGATTCCCTAAACATGCAAAATTTCTAATTTAAATCCTAACTAACATATTTTTTTGATTTTCTTTATTTAAAAGGAAAACAGTTAAACGAAGATAACAACCACATTCAAACAATCCACGCAATCCGCAAGATTCTTCTTATCATATTCAAATTAGGCAAAGAAATCAAACTAACGGTCATATCTATAGGGTTATAGATATCGACGGAAAGCTGATTGTTCAAATTTGGAAAGCAAATAAAATCTATTATCATATCCAAATGATTATGGATAAGATAACGATTTTCCGTATCGCCGCGTATCGTACCTTAGGGATAAGGTCGGATAGTCGTCCAGATACGTTGCCAAATTAGGAATGATTCCTAATTTTGGGTATTTTTTGAATATTGCGGATATCACAAAATTACCCTAAGATATCTAGCTATCCACCAAAATATTCACGAAATATTCAAACACCCGAAAACTAGGAAATTAAATATTTAAAAGAAATATTCGGATAATCTTACCTAATTGGCGGATAATTCCAAATTTGAATTCGGATTGAACTCGGGCTTGCGGATCGGGACGGTGACCGACGGCGGCTCAGGGGCAGCTCGGATTGCGGTGGCTGATGGTGAGAGGCGGCAGCGATGGAGCAAGAACGGCCACTGATGCTCGGTAATGGCCTCTCAGTCAAGGAAAGACCAGCGGGTGTTGCTCTCGGTGGTGGTTCAGTTCGTGGTCTGGGGATCGTCGCAGCAAGGTTTCGGGCATGTCAAGAACGCCTGGAAGATCGAGAGGACAAGCTTCGTCGAGAGGAGAAATCACTTAACGAGCGTCAATGAAAATTTGCGGATGAAAGTCCTCGTGATACTCCCCAACATGGGATCTTTCCTCTCTTCTTTCTTTGTTGGATATTTTTACTTCAGATTGTCTTCAGCTACTCAAACTTTCACTGAAACACCTTGACCACCGCTTGGACTCTTCTGATGATGTCACGTGGATGTGGAAGCGCAGGCCCTCACGAAAAGAAGCAGCTCCTTGTGCGGACAATAGCAGGAAGTCGGGGCACTTGTGGCAGCGTCGTCGAAGAAAGTAGCAGTAGCAGGGGCAGTAGCGATCCTCGTGGACTGGCTCAGTTGATCAGCGGAGGAAGCAGCACAGGGTGAGGGGCAGACCTTTCGCTGCCGAAGGTCTGGCCGCAAGGAAGGTGGTGGTGCGCCGCGGTCGTAAGGCGGCACGACGGTGAGGTAGACACGTGTGCAACCAACTCTCTCTTGCTCTTTGCTCTCTCTCACGCGTGTCTTTCGTGCTCTCTCTGAAAATTTTGCTCTGGGAATTATGAGAGCCCCCCTGATTACACTACAAAAAAACAAGGATTTAGCCACGGAAATTTGCGACAAATTATTTTTCGTGGCTAATTGCGACGCAATTTGCGACGAATATATTTTCCGTCGTAAATTAGCCACAAAAAATAATTCATCGCAAATTTCCAACGAATTTTGCGACGAAAAAAAATTCGTGGCTAATTTGCGACGGAATCTGCCACGGAAAAAAAATCGTCGCAGATTTGCGACGAAATTTACCACGAAAAAAAATTCGTGGAAAATTTGCGACGGATTTTGCCACGAAAAAAATTCGTGGCTAATTTGCGACGGAATTTGTCACGAAAAAAAATTCGTGGCTAATTTGCGACGAAATTGCCGACGAATGTTTTTCCGTTTCTAATTTGCGACGAAAAATAAATGTCATCGCTAATTTGCGATGAAATTTACCACGAACAAAAATTCATGGTTATTTTGCGACGGAATTAGCGACGAATTGTTATTCGTCGCTAATTCTCCTCTACTTGTAGACCCAATTTCTCTCTCTCTGCTAATTCCTCTTATCCCTATTAGTTGTTTTCCCTTCCTCTCCCTATTCGCTGTTATCCCTTCCTCTCGATAAATCTCTCCGCACGCGCAAAAATCTATCTCGGTGAACCTTTTCTACCGGTAAGTGGTGTGATTAATTTGGGCAAAACTATTTTCAAATTTTTGTTATTTTATTGAGTTTTTTTTTTCTCTTTTTTTTTTTCTGACTTCGTCGCCAGTCGCCGGTCCGGCAACCGGCGACCGGCGAGACTCGCCGGCCATGGGCGGGGCCGCTGGACCTCGCCCAGATCTGGGCGAGGCCGAGCGGCCTCGCCATGGGGCCCGGCGCTGGACCTCGCCGCGAGGTCCAGCGGCGGCCATGGCCAGATCTGGACCTCGCCGGCCGGATCTGGACCTCGCGGCGAGGTCGAGCTTGGGCCTCGCCATGGCCGCCACTTGGACCTCGCGGCGTGGTCGAGCGGTGGCCATGGCCACTCGACCTCGGTGCCCGGATCGGGCGGCGAGGTCGAGCGACCATGGCCGCCGCGGGTCGAGCTGCGGCCATGGCCGCTCGACCTCGCCGCCTAGATCTGGGCGCCGAGGTCGAGCGGCGGCCATGGCCGCTACGGGCGCCGAGGTCAAGCGGCCATGGTCGCCGCTGGACCTCGCGGCGAGGTCGAGCGGCCATGGTCGCCGCTGGACCTCGCGGCGAGGTCGAGCGGCGGCCGCTGGACCTCGCTGCGAGGTCCAGATCTGGCCGGCGAGGTCCAGATCTGGCCATGGCCGGCGAGTTCCTCACCGGCCGGTCGCCGGACCGGCGATCGGAGAAAAAAATGAAGGAAAAAAAATTTGGGAAAAAAATTCAAAAAAGAAATTATTAAAAAAAATTGGGGAAAAAATTATTATAAAAAAATAAAATCTGAAGTCAATTTTTTTTTGTAGGTACGTATTCGTTTGAAAGTCTCGCGGATGAAGTGAACGTTGCAATTCTCATCAAATTGAGCACGTTGTACTACAAAGATTTCAGTCAAATACTTGGGTAAGTCAATTGTTTTAATTTTTTCAATTTCAAAATAATTGTTTAGGCAAAAACAAAATTTTAATTTTTAGAATTTTATGGTTTTAATATCGAAAATTTTTTGGTATTAATATTTTACGAGATTTTGTTATTTTTATATAGACAATGCAAAGAGACAGGGCTTGGATGTATAATAAGAACTTACCTGGACGTCGAGGATTGACCGATGAGTTTCGTACTGGGTTGGAACTATTTTTGGACTTTGCTAGTAGTAAATATGAGTTGATGGATGGAAATAAGTGAAGGTGTCAGTGTAGAAAGTACAGTAATGGTAAATTTCATGTATGTGATACAGTTAGAGAACATCTTTGTAGATTTGGGTTTACTCCGAACTACTATAATTGGACTTGTCATGGTGAACCATTTATATCTGATGAAGGCTATCGAATAAGTGACCAATTTTCAGTTAGGGAAGAATGTAGCTATTATGACCAAATGAACCCATACCAGGGGATGGTGATTGATGCAGCTGGTCATAATTCAGATCCAAACTATGCAAGTACTAGTTTTACTCCAAGACTTGAATAATTTGAAGAGATAGGAGTAACAGGTTTTGATGAGAATGTGTGTAATGAAACGTTTCCATCTAATCAGTTCTGGG